AAAGAAGATGCTGACTTCGACTGCTGTGCGCTACCTGAAGCGTAGAGTGGAGAGAAGTCCCCGTGTGACTGCTGAGGAACTGAGAAAAGATTTGTCAGATGTGGGTACAGAAGTTTCAGCCCAGACAATAAGACGCACACTGCGTAATGAAGGCCTCCGTGCCAGAACTCCCAGGCGTACCCCCTTGCTGTCTCCAAAGAATAAGAAGAGTCGACTGCAGTATGCCAAAAGCCATGTGGACAAACCACAAAAGTTGTGGGATAGTGTTCTGTGGACTGATGAAACAAAATTAGAACTGTTTGGGCCCATGGATCAACGCTATGTTTGGAGGAGGAAGAACAAGGCCTATGATGAAAAGAACACCTTGCCTACTGTGAAGCATGGTGGAGGGTCAATCATGCTTTGGGGCTGTTTTGCTTCTGCAGGTACAGGGAAGCTTCAGCGTGTGCAAGGTACCATGAATTCTCTTCAGTACCAGGAGATATTGGATGGAAACGTGATGCAGTCCGTCACACACCTGAGGCTTGGGAGACGTTGGACCTTTCAACAGGACAATGATCCCAAGCATACCTCCAAGTCCACTAGAGCATGGTTGCAGAGGAAAGGCTGGAACATTTTGGAGTGGCCATCGCAGTCACCAGACTTAAATCCGATTGAGAACCTCTGGTGGGACTTAAAGAAAGCAGTTGCAGTGCGCAAGCCTAAGAATGTGACTGAACTGGAGGCCTTTGCCCATGAAGAATGGGCGAAGATACCCGTAGATCGCTGCAAGACACTTGTGTCAAGCTATGCTTCACGTTTAAAAGCTGTTATAACTGTAAAAGGATGCTGTACTAAGTACTAAGATTGAATGTCACTTGGGGGTTGAATAAAACTGATAATGCTGTGAGCACAGAAAAGACATTTGTGGTTATTTCATTATAACTGTTATGTTATATTTGTCTGACCTACAAGTGCCTCTTTAATGTAAATGTAAGCAAGATGACTGAATGATCAAAAGCAATGTCAAACTGGCCAAAACACTCAATTTCAGTGGGGGTTGAATAATTTTGGTCACAACTGTATAACAGCTCACTTCATATACCATAGAAAAATGACCATTTACCTGGCTATAATGGAAACCAAACAGAGAACTTCAGACTGAAGCAGCATTTAGGATTCTTTTTCATGTATGTGTTACCTACAACCATCAGCACATCTGACTGTAAGATTGGATTTTCAATATGTTGTCACACTTCACATTTACATTTGTTCTTTATTGAGTTGTGTTTTGATCTTATCAACAAGCAATTGACTCGCATTGCCAAAGACAATATAATGAAAATAGCTATATGCTATTGCTCTATTTCTAGTCTTGTAAAAACTTTTCCTGTGATGGTCAAAGTCCAGGAAACTACCATTCTAACTTGGTCAAATTCATCCAATACATATCAATACAGTTGTTTGCATTTAATATCCATTTGACTTGGTTTCCTTGGACAGTATTCTGAGCAGGGGCGGACTGACCATTTGGAAACTCGGGCACTGCCCGAGGGCCCGGGGTCAGTAGGGACCCCATGAGATGCCCCTGGTACCTTTTTCATAGGCTTTTTTGAGTTTGGGCAAGGACACAGGGGCCTCATGATCCCCTATTGCCCGGGAGCCCCATAAGTTGTCAGTCCGCCCCTGATTCTGAGCATCACTTACATCAACCTTTTGCTGCCGATATAAATATATGTGCGGTGCAAAGATGATGGGCTTTACTGCCCACACATTGCACATATGTGTCCATGGGAGGCCGAGGTTTCTGTGTTGAGAGCATGCTCATTGCGTGCTCCCAGCATAGTGACCAAGCTGTTAAAGACAACTGTTAATTTCTAGTAACAATAGGAATTTGTTAGGACCTGCTTCTGAACATTTGACCTCGTAATTGCCCAGTTAAAGGGAGGTTGGGGCTGGACAGAAAGGGGTTAAATTAGATCTTAACCTTAACTGAATGACAGTTAGTTGCTGTATTATAAAGATGTGCAACTTTTACAGATTTCACCTTTTTTTCATCCTTTCTTTTCATCTCAGTGATTCTGATCACCTCCAGCCTCTTTCAACCACCTAGGTGTTCTTTTATCATGCAGCAGTAAATGACCTCTGCTCAGTTCTCTGGCATTTTCAGAGAAGACAGTTCTCCTCTGAATGCCTTTTTATGAAGTGGTGTAAATTGCTTCTCTGAATGAAGGGAGAAGTGATCTACAAACGCTTTGAATGCTGGAAAATGGCTGCTTTTACTATAATCCCGTGAGATTACAGTAAGAGATCAGTCAAACACCATTTACTAAGCAGCGGTAAATTACTGCTGCTTCGTTTGCATTTCCCCCGATTCTCCAGCTCTGGGCTGGAGAATCTGGAGGGAGAGCACAGATCGCTAGTAAAGGGCTGACATTGCTCCTTCATATACTGGCCGTCTGTGTGCTGAGATGATCAGTGGAGAACATGTTCTCCACTGATCATCTCTGTTTCCTAAACCACTAATGATTGGAGATCAGCAACAATCTTCAGGATCGCTGCTGATCTCTGTTTCATAAAAGGACACCTACAGTATATGTCTACATGAACTTGCTGCCGCATTTTTGCTCTGTACCAACTTACTCGTATACTTACTTGTATAAAAATCGCACATGTATCTGAATATGTAAAACTCAACCCTAGCCAAATAATTTTCTTTAGGTTTGGATAGTGTGGGGGAAAGGCTAGAAACTCTGCTGGGTTTTTATTGATGTCTGACACCTACTGGGCAGACTTCTCCAGACGTTTTCCTCCATGACACCAAGATATAAAATGAGGGAATGGGTGCCACTGGAGCAGAATGGCACAGACAGCTGGGTAAACCTACAGTACTTCACTCTACATCGTACAGACTTTTAAACAACTCCTGTGTGGGGGAGGGTCCATAGATAAATGGATGCATTTTGCTTTAAAGATGTGACTTCCTTTGTAGCACATTATAGCACTTGTTGGAATCAATGAAAAATAAAAATGTTTCACTGAAAAGAAGCAAGCACAAATAAATCACAAGGGGCTCTCTTTTCAGCCCAGAAATCAATGTTGACACATTAGGGCTATTAGCTTATTGAAAGTATAATGATGGATAGAATAATGAGAGATAATCAAAGCTATTTTTGCATACGGGGATTTGACATGGATTACTATGATTTGTTTGGTGCAGATATTTATATATTCTTGTTCATGGCCTTTTTCCATACTTGGTGACCCTTGGTAGGCTCCTTTATGCAGTCATATATGTGCAAACAGCAAGTCTTTTTCTCCTTTTCAGCACCATCAAATTCCCAGACTACATCATTTGCTATTGGATTCCTATTGCTCCCAAGAGTCTTTTTTCTCAGTTCAGAACCAGTTGTTTCTTTATTGTATTGCCACTTGGTGGATACATAGCAGTCACCTGCTGCAGGCTTGAAATGTCCTAAACTGTCTTCGCACAGAGGTGACTTTTCATTTCATTACCACTTGATGGATCATCACAGGATAGTCACATTCCCAGTGGTATTGCTCCAAAACACATTAATAAATAGCACATTTATAATATTTTGAACTCTGTTTATTGAACTTGAACAGTTGTACATGCATATAAGTGCACATGGTCACAATTACAGCAATCATATCAAGTAAAAATATCAACTCACCAACCAGTCATGTACCTGGTCTTCAAGTGGTTGTAGTGGGGTGATGCCTGCAGCTGCATACTTCACCCTGGTACTGTTTCTCAGAACCGGCGGTCAGCTTTCTTGTAATAGCAGTCGAAGCAGATAACTATCCGCTCGATCGCTATTACAAGCAGTGGGAGGGGATGTCTTCCCCTCCCACCACCTTCCGCCGCCTGCTGGGGATCTCCTGTCCCATCAGGAGAACCAAGCGTCCAGCAGGCATGTTAGCCGGTTGGTCGGAGAGGTCAGAGAATTGGCTTTGTTTGGGACTATGCTATGGTAACCCGAAAGAGATGACCTCTTATCACTTTCGGTTTACCTGGATGTCAACCATTTTTAAAAAATGAAAAAGCACTCAAAAACACAAATCTTGGTGTTTTTAATGTTGTTAAGTGCAGAGGAAGGATTGGGGGTCTTATTGACCCCATATCCCTACATAAAAAGTACCTATCATGTGCCTGTTGCTGTCACAAGGATGTTTACATTCCTTGAAATAACAATAAAAGTGATTTTAAAAAAATAAAGCAACAGTGTAAACATTTTAATAAATAAATTAATTAATAGTTAAAAAAAAAAATTGAAGTGCCACCATTCCCCTGTGCTCGCACTCATTGGTTCCGTGCACGCGGAAACAGCTATCGTCTTAAACATGTGAGTTATCACCGCAAATGTCAAATCATAGACAGTGATTCTAGCACCGGACCTGTAAATCTAAATTGGTAACATGCAAAGGCTTTTAAAGCATTCCCTATAAATAGTAAAATGTACATAGTTTGCCGTCATTGCACATGTGTGTGCAATTTTAAAGTGCAAAATGTTTGTATCTATTTACTCAGCATAACATCATATTTTATATTTTACAAAAAAGTGGGTTATGGATTTTTTTTTTGGCATTAAAATTCAAAAAAGTGCATTTTTATCCCAAGAAATTGCATTTGATAAATCACTGCTCAAATAAAAAAATTGCGAAACCCACAAATTTATTCTCTAGGGCATCTGCTTTAACCACCAGCCTACAGGGCACTTATACTCCCTTCCTGCCCAGGTCAATTTCCAGCTTTCAACGCTGTTGCACATTGAATGACAATTGCGCGGTCATGCAACACTGTACCCGTATGAAATTTTTATCATTTTTTTTGGTGACAGATAGAACTTTATTTTGGTGGTATTTAATCACCTCTGGGTTTTTTATTTTTTCTTAAACAAACCAAAAACCACTGAAAATTTGGGGGAAAAAAAAGGTTTTTCTTAGTTTTTGTTATAAAATTTTGTAAATAAATTATTTTTCTCCTTCACTGATGTGCGCTAATGAGGCTAAACTGATGGACATTGATAGGTGGCACTGATGAGGAGGCACTGGTAGGTGGCAATGATGGGCATTGACAGGCATCACTGATGGGCACTGAAAGGCAGCACTCATATATGGTACTGATAGGCAGCACTGATAGGTGGCACTGACTGGCACTGATAGGCGTCACTGACTGGCACTGTTAGGTGGCACTGACTGGCACTGTTAGGCGGCACTGATAGGCAGCACTGATGCACACTGATAGGCTGCACTGACTGGCACTGATAGCTAGCACTGACTGGCACTGATAGGTGGCACTGATTGGCAGCACTGATAGGTGGCACTGACTGGCATTGATAGGTGGCACTGACTGGCAGTGATGGGTGACACTGAAAGGCGCTCAGATGGGCACTGATATGTGGCATTGATGTGCACTGGTAGGCACTGAAATGTGGCATTGATGTGGCACTGATGGGCACTGGCAGGTGGCATGGATGAGCACTGACAGCTGGCACTGATGGACACTGACAGGTGGCACTGCTGGGGCTACACAGATCATCAGGGCACACTGATCATCAGTGCTCTGATGATCTGTGTACATGTCCCTCCGAGGGATGCCGATTACCTGCTCTCCTCTCCTCACGAGCTGTCAGCTAACCGGCATTTCCCTATTTACATGCGATCAGCCTTGATTGGACACAGCTGATCACATGACCGAGCCGACATCTTCGGCTCTTTCCGTTGATCGGTGATCCGCTGTGTCCGAGGGACACAGCGCACTGTCGATCGCTGCGCTCCCGGGGCCACGCATGCGCGGTTAGAATGGGACAACATCATATGACGTCCTCCCAGAATGAGAGAACCGCCTTGCGCCGGTCATTACACTATATGGGAGGGCGGGAGGTGGTTAAAGGTTTTTGCAGCTGTAGGAGTTTTAAAAAATCCTAGGGTGTGCTGTGGCTTATTTTTACGTACCATGTATTGCTTTTAGAAGCTGGGCTTCCTCTATTCATATGCTAATTAACCGGTTCGACTGGTTTAATGGAGACTAGCAAAACAGGAAGTAATGTTGTCAGGAAATGGGGCAGGAAAAAAAAAAGACCTGAACACAGCTTTGTCTGAACACAGCTTTGTCCCGGAGTCGCGCATGCGCGGTTAGCATGGGAAGACGTCATATGATGTCCTCCGAGAACAAGAGAACCGTCTTGCGTCTGTCATTTTACTATATGGCAGGCGGGAGGTGGTTAAAAAATATATAATGTTTGGGGGTTCTTACTCATTTTATAGCAAAAAAACCCGATTGTTATATGTGAACAAAAAGTGCCAGAAAAAGCCTGGTCGTTGAGTGGATATGTTTTATAAAATAAAGAATCGGAACAACTACAGTATCTTGTATGCTTTTGTTACATACATATATTCTAAAACACAGAACCAAGAAGTTTGCATACAGTGAACTGAGTCAGGTAGTTATAACTTTAAAGCCAACATTTTAGGGGAAAGTTTTTATTGTCAACTACAATTTTTTATAAGGATTTTATATGTTGATCGACCAATGCTTTCCACTGGCTACACTAAGAGAGGATGGACTTGTTCACTTTATAGCTTTGGCTTAGCTAGCCATAAACAAAGTTTTTTTGCTAGAATTTTCTAGTATAGTTTAGCCAATGTGGTGAGCACAGTAACCACTGTCTGCCAGAAGTCAGATATAATATGAGAACCCCAAATACAATGCATGAAATCTGCCTGAGGTTCATTTCATCATATATAGTTGTGGTGTTTATTTGTCCTATTTTGTGCAGTCAAACAGGAGCTAAGTGTGTTTTCTGTGTAATATGCAATTGGTTTAATCCAATATTAACCACTGTTGAGACCAACATTTGAGAGGAGCATATATCATCCATATCTCTGTAGACATAGCAGGTAGTAGGGTCTGCCATTTAGTCTTATTAACCAGTGGAGTTTTATGTAACTTAGTTTGTAGCAAGTGGAATAGAGAGTGGATATTAACAATTCTATTAGTGGGCTTTCAGAGGTGGGTTTATCTTGGTCCTTGAATTTTGGCTCCAAGCCATGCTGCTGTTGTAGGAATCTATAGAAGAAACTACAGGGTAAATTGCGTCTCTCTGTAATTGCATGAATTAATACATTTTCCACTGCCCCAGTAAATGTCTGAAGAGTTACAATACCATGGGATTGTCATAATGTATGATTTGGATTCACACTAAGTTGTGCTAATGTAGGGTTGTCCTATAAGGTTAAGTTATCTGGGAGGTCCTGAAATAAAGTGAGCTATTTACCCTCAATCCATACCGATTTGGCCAGTTTCAAGAAGGGTAGGTGGTGCTTGCAGGGGAGTAACTTAAAGTGGTTGTAAAGCTTTCAGGCTTTTAACCTTAACTGCATTCTCTGCATTAATGTAAAAAAACTTTTATGTGCAGCTCCCCTCCAGCCCCCCTAAATACTTACCTGAGCCTAATCTTGATCCAGCACTGTGCCCGAAAGCATTGTTGCTCTCTTTCTCCCTCCTCACAGAAGGCAGCATTGGCTCATGCTGCTGTAAATCAAATTCCGTGATGAGGGAGCAGGGGGCGGGGCCAACACGAACTGTGTGTGTCAATAGACACACACTTGTGGCTCAGGATCAAGCCTGCATGAGTGCCACCAGAGCATCATTCCTATGGTGGCACACTATGAAGAAGAGGACCCCAGAGCTCCAGTGTGGAACCTCAGAAGAGGAAGTTCGGGCTGATCTGTGCAAAACCATTTCATATAGCAGGTAAGTATGACCTGTTTGGCATTAAAAAAAATTTTTATAATCACTTCAGGGGTCTCTGGAAATATCAACATTTGTTAGGTCCCAAGAACATTTGCTAAGTCTGATTCCATGTTTTGAGGAACTACAGAGAGGACCTATGTGGCAAGGTGTTATAGTTCTCCTTCCAAGTAATAAAAAACTTATCCAACAGTGCCATACCAGCTCGTTAGGCCTTTGCAGTGGCTTTTTTATTTTAGTTCCAGTGATACCCCATTTTAAAAAAATGAGAATAGGGAGTTAGTTCCTTGAAAAATTATAGTGGTACTGTCATAGGTATTTGTGTAAGTATATCAATATAGTTTGTCAAAAAGATAGGTTGGTTGATTCTGCCTGCAACAGACAGGGCAGCTTAGACCACACTTGCAGTTTACCCTTTACCCTATTTCCCCAATAGTTTGCATCAGTGGGTCAATTTTCTATGAGATATCCTGGGAGGGGGCCTTTGTAGTTGCAATCCCCAGATATTGAAAAACATGGCTCTAGACACCAATGACATCAAGACAGACTTTTGTCAGTTAAATTTAATGCTCAATTATACACCAAATTCTTCAATAGCTTGAATGGCCAATGGCAAAGAAGGCTCTGCGTTGTCAAGATATTATAGGATATCATTGACATAGTCCTATTTGTTCAGAGTTTTAGAAAAGCCTCTATATATGCCTGCTGGATGTTAATGACAAGCCTCATTGTTATAGCAAAGAGAAGGGAAGACAGGGAGCAGTGTCCAAAGATGCCAAAGCACATATCTCTTGGATGCATTCTGATAGTTGAGCCACAATTTGGGTCCTGCAGATATTAATAGTGGTTGACTTTCCAAGCATAAAGCCTATTTGATTATCATGGATAATAAAGAGTATGATGGTATTCAGTCTAATAGGTGATAGAGTGTCATTGGGACAGTAAATGATGGGAAAGCTGTCCAACAGTGACAGAGACAGAAACAAAATACATTTCTTAAATAGAGTGGGGAAGGCTTAAAGCTTCTGTCGGCTTTTTATTGCTGCATGTGATTTCTTGTCTTGACAGCTGTGCCCCTCATTTCTTGTCTAAGTGTCACAGGGGCATGAATAAAAATGAAATCTCTCCCATTCTTTCCAAAACTGAACAAAAAAAAAAGTTTTTAATGGAAATGGGATTTAACCAAATATGATGCAATGCATATAAAATTTGCAAATTGTGGCAGATCGTCTCCAGATCCCAGGGAAAATTGCCTCATCTTTGCAGAATGACAGAATGCAGAATCTACAGATGGGTTTGCTTCATCCCTTCTTTCCTGTGTTGAAAGAAATAAAGGCACTGATATACTATATTAGTGAGGACAATTTTAGCCTGGTTTCCTGCCAATCAACAGTTGTAGCAGAAAGGTGTTTGTGAAGTTCCCAGTCTGGCTAGAGTTGGAAGACTGACCTAGAAACAGCAGAATTACAGTGATACTGACTTCATGGTTTTTCTTGGTAAAAGCTGGTCTGGCGAAACCTCTAGGTAATGTTCTGGAATCTGTAGCTTTATCAAATAAAATACACATAAATCAAGAAATATTGCCTGTCCTGCATTTTCCATCACCTAAAACATTCCACTTCCTGGCCCAGAGATGCAGCAGGAAGAAAGACAAAATCTCTTTTAAATGAGAATTCCCTTTTTCGGTAGTTTTCACCAGAACATGTGTCCTAATTGGAAGATATTCCTCATCTCGTGTTCTGGTGACAACTCTAAAATTACATTTCCTCTTACTGCCTTTGTGATAATGGCCCTCAGGACAAATAGAAATTGTGATTCTACCTAGCCAAGACACAGACAACAATAAGAACTTGACAGAGGTTCTAATCCTTCCCTATTACATCCAACAAAAATGTTTTATAACAAACATTTTGAAGTGGACCTTTGGTAACTTTACACATCTGCATAAATTCATTCCTGACAGCAACTGTGTAATTTTTTAAAAAAGCAGCAATTGTTTTTGCTAAAAAGAAATCCTTGAGACAAGTGACTTTGCCTAGGCTGGGATGATGCTTTCGTCTGCTACAAGCAGGAAGAAACATTTGCTCAGTCTCCTTTCCCTGAGTCCCTGTAGCAATGTTAAACTAGCCATGCATGGATCGAAATTCCACTGGTTTAGCAGGGGCCGGACAAATTTCTTTACATGTATGGGCAGGGTGGCTGCAAAAATTGACTTGCGTACAACCAAAATCTGTTGGAAAAATTTTTCTTGATCAGCACAACCACCTATATCCCACAGTGCTGATCAGTGTATTCTGGTGGTGCGGAAATCTCCCAGAATACAATACCTCAGCAGGAGGGATTCCCCCATCCACATTGAGTGTGTGGATAGGGGAATCAAATCATTTTTTTTTTCATTCAACCCACTGGTTGAGCAAAAAAATAATGCCTAATGTATGGGCTGTCTTACTGTGATAAGTCACGAGCTGAGTGGCTGCAGCAAAGGTTGATTTGTGTCAGACATTTGTGAATTTAGGCAAAAAAAACTGCATAGGCACCAGGATTTACATGAGTATAATCTCTGAGCTGTTATCTGACCAGGGAAGTGGATGGTACCTGAGCAAAGATTTCACCATCCTTCTGGGAATAAAAGAAGATAAAGGCATTGCTAGGGAGATTACT